GAAGGGCTGCTTATGCACAGGGAGACAGCTAAGGGGGCAGAAGAGTATGGAGGGATGGACACTGAGAAGAGATAACTATGGGGAGGAAGTGGGAGGGGAGCTGTTGCATTGTGGTAAACTGTGGTCAATGACATGAGACAAAGTATATGTGAACTGCTGTATGGAAAGTGAATTTGCTCTGTAAATCTTCACCCAAATCACAATTAAAAAAAAAAAAAATGGAAGGAATATACAAAGTCACTGTACCAAAAAGAATTGCTTGATGTTCATCCATTTCAGGAGGTGGCATATGATTAAGAACCAATGGCATAAAAAGAAGACATTGAAGCTGCACTGAAGGAATTGGCGAAGAACAAGTCTCCAGGAATCAATGGAATACCCATTGAGATGTTTCAACAAATGGATGCTCTGCTGGAGGCACTCACTTGTCAATGCCAAGAGATTTGGAAGACAGCTACCTGACCAACTGATGGAAGAGATCCGTCTTTGTACCCATTCCAAAGAAAGGTGATCCCACAGAATGTGGAAATTATCAAACAGTATCATTAATATCACATACAAATAAAATCTTGCTGAAGAAAATTCAAAAACAGTTGCAGCAGTATATTGACAAGGTACTTCCAGAAATGTAAGCTGGATTCAGAAGAGGACGTGGAACAAGGGATATCATTGCTGATGTCAGATGGAACTTGGATCAAAGCAAAGAATACCAGAAAGATGTTTACTTGTGTTTTATTGACTATGCAAGAGCATTCAACTGTGTGGATCATAATAAATTATAGATAATATTGAAAAGAATGGGAATTCCAGAACATTTAATTGTGCTCATGAGGAACCTGTACATAGACCAGGAGGCTCTCATTCAAACAGAACAAGGGGATACTGCACAGTTTAAAATCAGGAAGGAAGTGTGTCAAGGATGCATCTTTCACCATACTTATTCAATGTGTATGCTGAGCAAATAATCTGAGAAGCTGGACTATATGAAGAAGAACACAGCATCAGGATTGGAGGAAGATTCATTAACAACCTACAATATGCAGATGACACAACCTTGCTTGCTGACAATGACGATCACTTGAAGCACTTACTGATGAAGATTAGACTTACAGTCTGAAGCATGGATTATATACATCTCAATATCAAGAAAACAGAAATCCTTACAACTGGACCGATAAGCAGCATCATGATAAATGGAGAAAAGGTTGAAGTTGTCAAAGATTTCATATTACTTGGTTCTACAATCAACACTAATAGAAGCAGCAGTCAAGAAATCAGACTATGTATTGTACTTGGCAAATCTGCTGCAAAAGGCCTCTTTCAAGTGCTGAAAACCAAAGATGTCTCTTTGAAGACTAAGGTACACCTGACCCAAGACATGGTGTTTTCAATTGCCTCCTATGCATGTGAAAGCTGGACAGTAAATAAGGAAGACTCAAGAAGAGTTGATGCTTTTGAGTTGTGGTGTTGGCAAAGAATACCGAAAGTACCATGGACTGCCAGAAGAATGAACAAATCTGTCCTGGAAGAAGTGCAGCCAGAATGCTCCTTGGAAGCAAGAATGGTCAGACCTACTTTGGTCATGTTGTCAGAAGGGATTGTTACCTAGAAAAGGATATCATGCTTGATAAAGCAGACGGTCAGCAAAAAAGGGGAAGCCCTGTCAATAAAATGGATTGAAACATTGGGTGCAACAATGGGATTAGGTACGGCAAGGATTGTGAGGCTGGCACAGGACCAGGCAGTGTTTCATTCTGCTGTACACAGGGTTGCTATGAGTCAGAACTGACTCAACAGCACCTAACGATGACAACAACAATGAAATACTGGATCTAGGAGATTGCTTGCATCACAAAAACAGCAGCAATAAGAAATGTGTGCCTCTTGCATTTTGTCAAGACTCTAGAGCTAAAGACCAGTTTTACAAGTGTGCAGAATGAGTCTGCTCATAGGTCTGAGGCTGCTCTCTTTAGAAAGACCTATAAACACTGGCTCTTGGCTGGCATCTGGGAACCTAGATTTCAGGAAAGTTCTCACCATTCCTGGATAGAATGGCGAGGTGTGTCTACATTGTTTGTACAAAAAAAAAAAAAAAAAGTGTTTTTTCCTAAACATTTGCTTTTTTTTTCCCCTGGGAATCTGGAGTTTTGGTTCATGCTAGGCAGAAAGTGCCTATGTGATCACCTCCCTAATAAAAACCCTAGGCACTGAATGTCTAATGAGTCTCCCTGGTAGATAACACTTCTCAATTGTTGTCACAACGGTGTTGCTGGAGGAATTAGGTATGTCCTATGTGACTTGGAGGAGCTCTGGTGGCATAGTCCCTAAGGCATTTGACTGCTAACCAGAAGCCTGGAGGTTCAAACCCACCAGCTACTCCTTGAAAAGAAGATTAGGCAATCTACTTCTGTAGAGATACTACCTTAGAAACCCAAGGAGGGGTCGCTATGAGTTGGATCCGACTTGACAGTGGTGAGTTTTTTTTTTTTTGGTTGTTGTTGTTGTTGTTGTTTGTTTTGTATGTGACTTGGAGCTCTGGTGGTATAATGGTTAAAGAATTGGGCTGCTAACCAAAAGGCCAGTGGTTCAAACACACCAGCCGCTCTAGTCCATGGGAGGAAGATGAGGCAGTGTGTTTCTGTAAAGATTTACAGCAATTCTACTTGTCCTATAGGGTTGCTATGAGTCAGAACTGGCTCGATGACAGTGGGTTTGGGTCTGGGTTCTGTGTGACTCCATACTGGGAGAGAGAGGACTCTTGGAAGCTTGCACATGTTTTCTCCAGATTTTACCCCATGTGCCTTTTGCCTTTGGTGCTTTTGCTTTGTATCTTTTCCCTGTAAGAAATTATAGCTATGAGTACAACTATATGCTGAGCCCTGTGAGCCTGCTTATCAAATCATAAAGCTTGGGGGTGGTTCTGGGACCCCCAACACAATAGGAAATACAGGGGACAGAGGAACATGTTAAACTGTACTACAAGGATGTAGTCAGCAAAATCCAAAATAAAAGAAATGCTACAGAACAAACGGCCTAATTTCTTTAGCAAAAATTACAAGGAAACTATGGAAGGAAAGGGAACCTACAGATTAAAACAGACTTAGGAAACATAACAGCTTACAGCAACATGTGGACCACATGTGCATCCTAATTTGAATAAACTAAAAAAAAAGTTATAATAGAAGAAATTCAAACATCAAATGGATATTTGGGGGTGTTAAGGAGTTATTGTTAAATTTTTGGCATAATAATGGCATTGTGAGTCTGTTTTATAAAAATTGTTTTTTAGAAGAGACACTGGAAAATTTACAAAAGAAATAATATGATGTCTGGATTTGCTTTGAAATAATCAGGAAGGGTGAGGAAAATGAAGACAGGCAGAGATGATACAAGACAGACCATGAGTTGATAATTGTGATGCAGGATGATGGGGTTACAGAGGTTCATTATAGTACTACCTCCCAATTTTTGTATGTATTTTAATTTTTCCATAATAAAAAAGCTTTAAAATGTTTGTTAATAGGGCAAAGAATCCTCTTTTGGCTCTGTAGTTGTCCAGCAACCCTGACTCTCTCTAGGTAACTGCCGGGAATGGAATCTCAAATTCTGAACTCTTGGGCAGCATCCCCCAGGGCACTCATTCTGTTTGCCCAGGCTTGGCTTCCAACTGGCCACACTTGGACAGTTCCTGCCTCTCTCTTTCACCTCCCTGCTCTGGCATGCTGCCCCCAGCCAGCATGGAGGAATATCCTGAGAAATAACCCATGAGGCCAGCTAGGGATTACTCAGACATAGTGCCCTATCTTCAAGGATCTTCAGAAACAATCTCATTCTCCCTCGGAGTCATAAAAGTATGCTGCTCCCAAGAAACTGGTCCGGTTTTCACTTTGTGACACTGTATCTTTGTGCCAGCTGTTAGCAAGCTTAGAACCCAACTTTTGCCCAATTCTATAAAGTACATAGGACCTCACCCTCACTCATCTCATTTCCTATCTCCTTTTACACCTTATCTCCTTTACACCTAATTGTCCAGTTATTCTGGTAGCGTAGTGCCTAAGGCACTTGACTGCTAACCAGAAGGCTGGCAATTCAGACCCACCAGCCACTCCTTGGAAGGAAGGTTGGGCAATCTACTTCCATAGTGATACCACCTCAGAAATCCAAGGAGGGGTCGCTATGAGTCAGGGCCAACTCGCTGGCACATAACAACAACAGCCCAGTTATTTGGGAATCTTTATTCTGTTATATTGTATATATTGGGTAATCCACCTGGAATCCCTAGACTACCCACTTGGTGGGGGTCTTCCATCAAAATCCCAGGGCTCTCCTCTTCCCCCATCATCCCCTTCAGCTCCCACCCACTTGCCTGGGCAACTCACTGTGCATGATGGCATCGATCTCATACTGGGGTCTCAGGATCAGCAAGCTCCAGGGCAGGGTTGGACAGGTGACAGGGAGGTCTCTCAGCGCTGGGTCCTGCAGCGCCTGGAGTAGGGTCTGGGGTGCACCAGGCTCACATTTCCAGAAGAGCCCCTTCTGGGACAGGGGCAGGTGCAGAATGACCTGCTGGGCACCTGTGGTCAGGACACAACGGGCACAGCAGGTCCCTTGGTGCATTTCCACAGCGTCAACCATAAGGGGCTGGTTCTTAGGCACCACCTTGTCTTTTACTGTCATGCTGTGTGTCAACATGAAGCAAATGGGCAGCAGCTTGGAGCTGTGGTTGGCAGCAGCAATCAGTTCCTCCAGGGTTTCGTAGCTCTGGGAGCCAGTGAGAGGGCGGAAGTGGCCTGTGGGGCACAGCAGAGGGTGGGAGAATCACAGGGCATCAGTGGATGGGCCTTTGCTGGGCCCAGTGCCCTCATATATCAGGCCCAGGTCTGACCCTGTGATCACCCACCCCTAATCCCTGGAGAATAGATGCCAAGGGTGGCCCTGCATCTGGACATCTGGGATGAGGGGTCAGAAGCAGCCAGTGACTGTATGTGAATGGACAGTGAGGGGTAGAGATGGCATAGCTTTTCCTGAGACAGACAGACATGGACACAGGGACTCTCCAGAGGCACAGACAACATAACAAGGACATGTTCCCAAAAGACATACCAGTGGTTCTGCATTTTCCTACCTCCTGACTCCCCACATGTCTCTAACTTTGCCAACTTGTCACTTCCCCCAGATGCCTTACCACAGCTCCAATCCCACAATCCAAAACTAAATTCGTTCTCCCTATCACCTCCTCCTCATCGCTGTCCTGGGCCAGTGCCATTGTCCATCTCTCCCACACCAGAAACCCAGACACTACTGACCATAGTGAGCTCTGACTTGCTCTACCCTAGGTCCTGTCTCACTTTTGGCTGCCTGACTGCTCTCTCCACAACGCCCCCCATCCTCTCCCCTATCCCATCCATTCTTCACCTGGCACTGGACTGGCATAAAATACCCCACTTCTGGACATAACATCATGTCTGGGATTTTCCCGCCCAAAACACATAACGTGCACCTAATCAAGGAACATCAAATAAATCCAGACTGAGGAACATTCTATAAAAGTACTGGTCTGGACTCTTCAAACATGTCTATGTCCAGACAAGGAAAGGCTGAGGATTGTTTGAGCCTGAAGGAGATGAGAGAGAAAGGACCATTGAATGTGATATGTGATCCGGGACTGGACTCTGAATAAGGAGCAAAACTGCTATAAGGGGCATTAGGACAGTTGGTGGCATTTGAATATAGACTGTGGATTATACAATAGCATTGTATTAACACTGAATTTCCTGAATATGATCATTGAACTGTAGTTCTGTAAGAGAATGTCCTTGCTCTTAGGAGATACATGCTGTAGTATTCAGGGATAAGGGGTATTATGTCTGCAATTTATCTCAAATGGCTCAGGAAAACTAATATGTGTATTATATACATATAGTAATATATACTAGTGTGTGGTGGGGGTGTAGAGAGAGAGAGAAAGCAAGTGTAGCAACATGTTTAACAAATGGTGAAGCTGGATGAAAAGTATACAGGAGTTCTAGCATGTCTTCTGTAGATTTGAAATTATTTCAAAGTGAAAACAAAAAAACCTCAAAACGCAAAAGAAAACATATTCCTTCCATGTTTAAAACTCTCACTGGCACTTCAGCACCTTCAAAATAAAGACCAAAACGTGTTAATGCACCACCCAAGCCCCCTGGTGGTCTGGATCCTGCTTACCTCCTGCCACATACCGCTTCTCCTTAAATCCATACCCTCTCGTGTCCTGTCCCAGAGATCACAATAAAGATAGTCAGAGCAAGCCCTCAGAGTGAGCCACTCTGTGCCAGGCCCTGTTCTAAGAAATTTATTGCATATCATTTAATCCTTACATCACGCATAATTATCCCCCTGTCACAGAAGAGGAAACTGAGGCAGAGAGAGATCACTTGGCTACAGCTAATAGCTGACAGAGGTGGGACTCACAAAGGGCTGCTGGCTCCAGGGTCTGAGCCTACCACCTATAGGTACATGCCTCCTGCATTCACTGAGCTACTTAGTTTCCTGAGCACCAAACACCATGTGTACATGCTACTTCCTGTGCCTGGATTCTTCTTCTAGCTGGTCTGCCCTTCAAACCCGGCTCAGCTGTCACGTCTTCCAGGAAGTCTTCACAGGCCCGGTGAGGCAGGATGACTCCCACACGGAGCTCTATCTGATGACTGTGCCTCCTCTGCTGTTGCCTCCTCTCACTACTCCTGTGTCCACTCCCCTGCCATCCTAGTAGAAGCTACTTGCCAGAGAAGGCTGCACCCAGTCCATCCTGTGCCCAAGCACAGGACCTGGAACACCACGGGTGTCAGGAAATGTTCAGTGACTGAAACACAGACAGACACCTGGGCAATGACAAACACAAAATACACAAAGCCCCAATGAGAGGCAGATGTGATCAGAGGCCCATATGGAGGCGGGGCCGGCCATGCCAGGCCTATCATTGTCAGACCACACAGAAGGCATTCCTGGCCTCAAGGCTGAGCAGTGATAGACTTGAGAGCCTCATGTACAAACCCAGAGGGTTGGGAATGTGTGTCAGGATCAGCAAGCCCATGAGTGAGTGTCTGCAGGCATGCCTGAAGGGTGCCAGGCACCTGGGGAGACCCCAAGTGCCCACCTTACCCTGGAAGTTGGGAGCCAGCTCCATGATCTGACCCATTCTCAGGCTCTCACAGACCACCTTCTGGAGGCGAACCTGGGTGACCTTGATTAGGTCTCCTGTGGAGAGGCAGCACTCATTTCCACTTATCTCGTAGATGGAGCCTGGGGAGACACAGACTCAGGTTGGATTCAGTATCCCCACTCAGCAAGGCCCAAGAGCCAAGTGGCTTGTGCCCTATTCCCCAGAAAGCTCTGCTCTCCCACACCTTTGCACGCATTGTCTATCAGCCTGCAGTGCCCTTCCCTGCCTACTGCTCACTGGCTCAGCTGTCCACAGGCTCTCAAGTTGGCCAGTCCCTCAGTGGTGCACTTCTCTGGCCTTTTTCACATCTCTCAAACCCACCAGCCACTCCTCGAAAGGAAGGTTGGGCACTCCACTTCCGTAGTGATGTTGTTGTTGTTATATGCCCTCGAGTCGGACCTGACTCATAGCGACCCCTCCTTGGGTTTCTGAGGCGGTATCACTACAGAAGCAGATTGCCCAACCTTCCTTCCGAGCAGTAGCTGGTGGGTATGAACTGCCAGCCTTCTGGTTCAGTAGCTGGTGGGTATGAACTGCCAGCCTTCTGGTTAGCAGTCAAGTGCCTTAGGCACTTGCCGCGGCAACCCAAGGAGGGGTTGCTATGAGTCAGATCTGACTCCACAGCAGTGAGTTTGGTTTGGTTTGGATTCTTACTAGGGCTGATCTAGCCCACCATTACTGCAACCAGCACAAGGCCTGACTGACTTCTAAATGGGTGTTAACTTAAAAATAAGCAAATAACTCACTGCATCCCAACTCCCTGATTATACAGTTATGAAATCAGGCTCAGAGAGGGTCAGTGACTCCCCAAGATCACACAGAGCAAGAGCTAGTATAATAGTACCCAGTATAGTATCCCAACCACTAACAGGAGGAGGACAGGACAGAAAACTGCAGGTGGGTGGAGCCTTGGAGGCCACCTGACCCTACCCTCACCTCCAAGGCAACTGCAGCAGGGCCCTTAGCAGGAGCCCTGAGAGATTAATGAAAACCCAAGGAAGGTTGGGCAATCCTACATCCGTAGTGATAGTGATACTGCCTCGGAAACCCAAGGAGGGGTCGCTATGAGTCGGGGCCGACTCGACGGCAAACAACAACAACAACAACAACCCTTCTCCCCATGAAAAACATATACAGGCTCATGAAATACAGAGTGTCAGGGGCTGGATTCTCCAGGCTGGTGCAGGCCCCATACTAAACACTTACAATATACCAATACATGGGGCACCGTGGGGAGCGCTGCAGGTGCAGTATCTCATTTAAGCCCAAGATTGCCCTTGGAGGGGCAGTTCCTGCTTCCTAAATAAAGAACAGCTTCAGAGAGGTTGAGTGAGTTGCCCAAGATTATCAGCTAATAGGGGGCAGAATTAGGCTGCAAACCCACGTTTGTTTGCTTTCAAAGCCAGTGCACTTAACCAGCATCTGCACCACCTCTGAGTGGCCTGCCTAGTGGCCTGTCCCCATCAGAATCGCCATCTGTCCTCTCACATCATCGACTCACCCACACCCTGGTCAGGCTCTTCCTCTCATTCCCCTAACTTCCGCCACTTCAGGCAGAATGGGGAAGCTCAGGTATTGTGACAAGCAGCCTACCTATGGAGAGAGATGAGGAACTTGCGCAGCGGGGGAAGAGCGCGCAGATCAGATCGTAGGCGCCTGCAGGGAGCCTCCAGACTTACAGCTAGGATTTGAACCCAGATCTGTCAGAGTCCCAAGCAGACCTGGCGCGACCCACTGTGTGGCAATGGCCCGACCTGCTCCCTTGGTCTAGGACCGCACTTGGCGCTGCAGAACACTTTAAAGCAAGATGCTGTGGCTGAGCAAGTTTTCCTCTGCTGGGAACAGAAGAGGCCAGGGCATCTGTGTATAACTTTACTCTCTAAGAAAGGAAGGAGCCTGCACTCCCACACAGGGCGTTTCCTTTCTCTCCTCCCGCCTCCACTCAGCGGTTCACAGTTCCTTCCTTCCTTCCTCCCTCCACCCCTCCTCAGCCGCCTCCCAACCCTGAGCAGCCGTCCTTTCCACTTTCCACCCCCTGTCACTCCCTCCCTCCCTCTAGCTCTTTCAGGCAGTAACTGATGATTGCTAGGTGAGCTGTGGCCAGAGAGCCGAAGTGAGGCAGTCCACAGGGAGCAGAAAGCAGGCTCAGGAAAGTCTCGCGGAGGACGAGCCATTTAAGCTGAGAATTGAAGAGCTGGTCAAGCGAAAGGCTGCTCATTGCCAAGCAGAGGCTAAAGCACCGGAGGTGGGACGGAGGGAGGAGAGGGGGTCAGGAGGCACAGGGACTCTGGACAGATGACAAGCTGCCTGAGCCAGCAGTTGAGAATCTAGCAATAGCTGCGCCTCACGGGCGCCCTAATCGGAGTTCCATAAATGCGTTCTGCGGTTCCAGCCAAGCTACTTTGCTCTGTTCCACCCACCCTCGGCGCCTAAGCACAACGACTTCTCATCACCACCCTGCGGGGCAAGTCATGGCCCCCATTCCAACGAGCAGAAGCTAAAGCCGGAGAGGCTGCCTGTGGCCCCAGGTGACACTGGCTCGGGCGGTGATGGAGATGCGAAGCTGGGGCACAGTTTCCCGCGTTCTAACGCCATTGCGCTCACACTCCGGTGGAGCCTGGCTGCGGCGAAGCAGGGGAGGCGAGTCTGGGTCCACTCACCCTGGAAGTAAACCCCCGAGCAGACGCGCAGCACACGCGGGAGGGAGGCGGGGTCCAGGGCGCGCACGAAGTCCGCTAGCGGCACAGCTTCCATGTCTCGCAACTAGCGGGCGGGGAGTAAAGCACCCGCCAGCACCAGAAGCAGCAGCCCCGCCGAGTCCCGCCCACCCCGGGGGCGGGATGGGAGGAGCCGCTGCCGAGGGGGTGGGAACGCGGACGGCGCTGTTGGGCAAGCTACTGCCGGCTCCTAAGCCTCTGTTTCCTCATCTCTAAAATCGGGTTGCAACACTTGCTTCTCAAGTTTATTCCACGGTTGAGAGCGTCAGACAGGTCCTGACCGTAAATAAAAAACAGTCCTCACTTCCCCAGTGTTCAATGAGATATCCCCATGAGGTTTTCTGTTGTTAGCTGCGGTGGAGTCTGCTGGGCTCTTGGTGGTAGGTTCTTCTAGTGCCGCTGTGAGAGAAGATACCACAAATGAGTGGCATGAACAAATACGAGTTTATTCTACAGTTTTGGAGGCTTGAAGTCTGACTTCAAGGTGCTGGGTGAAAGCCCCTCGACCTTGGGCTTCAGCTCTGCCTCTTCCTCCTGGCCCACTGAAGCTGGAGGCTTTCTTCACTCAGGCAGCTGCTGGCTGCTGAGGCTGACAAACCCAAGGTCAGTAAATGAAAAGGCACAGTATTACCAAAGCACATGGCAGGCCACTGATTCCAGTCCATTAACAGTCCCGAGACTGACAGAAAATATGGGAGGCTGCTGAACCACGACTAGGCTACATGCAGGACTCAAGCCTGCTAAAAGCTGCAGACCTTTCTCAATGAGATTATATACTGGAAGCAGACCATGTCGCTAAGGCAGTTACTCAGCTGCTTTAGTAGATTCCACCATGGCGTTAATTACCAATCTCACCGCAAGGAATAACTACATCCAGCTGTCCAGCCACTCAAAACCAGGTCCAGCCAAGTTGATGCATAACCCTAACTACCCTACTTAGTGAACCCATGCACAATAGGAACCGGATCATTGTCATCCACAGGGTTGATTTTGGCTGGCTTTTGGAAGTACATCAGCATTTCTTCCTGGTAAATCTTAGCCTGGAAGCTCCTCTGATAGCTGTTCAGCCTCACAGCACCAAGCAAGCCTCCACTAAGTGAGTGGTGGCTGCGCATGAGGTGCACTGGCAGGAAATCAAACTCAGTTTCCATGAAAAGCCAAAATTCCACCACTGTTCCCACCCCAATGGGGAAGGGCATGATAAAAATAAAGTCAGAGCTCCAGATGCTACTACCCCCTAGCCCCCTGCTCCCAGTCAGATGAAGGAAACACATGCTCCTTGGTGGTGAGGATTTCTGGATCTGATAGGACAGGTGGCCCAACTCCCAGGAATCCACGAACTGCACGCAGCACACAGCTCTGCCCTTCTGGGCTGAGGAGGGATCTGTAGTGTCAGCTGGCCTGGACTGTCTTCTATTTGGACACCTCCAGTGACGGGGAGCTCATTACTTTTCCAGGAAACTCATACTCTCTTTGGACCAGACTAATTAAAAAAAAGTTTCTTGAAGATGGAGGAATAGGCAGACAAGCTAAAGAGACCCTCTTCAACAAAGAAAAGAGAAACCAATTGACACAGATACAGAAGATAATCCTGGAGCCCTGAGCTTTGAAAGAAAGAATATAGAAGTAGATTAAACACCAACATATGAAGAAATGCTCACGATCATTAGCTATTAGAGAGAAGCAAATCAAAACAACAATGAGGTACTATGTTGCTCTAGCACTAATAGTAAAGTTCAACAAGACAGAAAATAACAAATGCTGGTGAGATTGTGGAGAGATTGGGACTCTCATACACTGTTGGTGGGACTGTAAAATGGTACAACCATTGTGGAAAGCAGTATGG